TTTAATCTCAACCGTCCAATCCAACTTAACTTTTTCAGTCTTTTCGTCTCTGTCTCCCATTTTGATTCATAGACACACACTCACACACATTCTCGAACTCTCTCAAGTCTCAACCCAATCTCATCTCTCTCAGTCTCGACTTCACAGTCTTTGAGACACTGTCGTCGTCATCCAAGAGTCGTCGTCAGAAGTAAGGAGGCATCATTGTGGAGTCTCATTATGCAGAAGTATGAAAGAGGCGCTGTCGTCGTCATCCAAGAGTTGTCAACGTTGTTGTCATCCAAGAGTCGCAGCAGAATATGTAACAACTTTGATTCCGCATCATATAACGAGTCTAATGGTTTCAATAGCCGCAACTCCTTTCTAGCGAGGAGCTCCAGGGAGCGGAAGAAACGAAGCAGTCGTAGAAAAAGTAGCCGCCGCAATGAGTGATGAGATTTCTAGGTTTATTTAGAAATATAAGGTTTTATTTCAATTTCTTTTTCTGGGTTGATTTCTAGGGTTTGTCAAGATTGGGGTTGAATATGTTTTGATTGTTTCTTGATCTGCAATTGGAAAAAGTACTTTGTAAAACAATTTTGAATTTTGAATAGATGAGTTTTGTATAATCCAATCCCGAACCAAAATACCGAAAAATTTCAGGAATCTAGAACTTCGGGAGTACCAAAATATTGGTTCGGTTTCGGGTTTTGAAATTCCGTCTCGAAAGGGATCGGTTTGGGTTTGAGTTTGAGCTTTTCTGTTCAAGATCCCGTCCCGAACCACCCCTAAAATTCATACAAATGCCATGAATTTCGTTGTCTATAGGGATATTATGTGTGATTAGCGATTTGTGGAGAATGATTGAGAAGGAATTTTCTTCGTTTTATTTTTAAAAAATATCAAATTAATTAAATTATTTTGAACTTATGTTGTTATGTTTATATTGTGTTGTGAATTATATTTATATTATGTTGTTAAATTTGTATGTGACGTACAAATATGTGTTGTGATGTACGGAGTTAATTGAAATTAACTTCTTTCTTGTTTTTTATTTTTAGTAAAACTTAGTTTCCCGTTCGAGAATTAGTTGGATTTCGCACATGGATACGAAAGCATGACCGCGGTCTAATTAATTCTTGAATTGTCTCATTATTTGGACAGTTTGGGAATGCACAGTTATGGCTTGTAGTTTATGGTTGAAGGATTAGGTTTCGGTTGTGGAGATTTTGGTGTCATCTCTGTACGTTCTTCGGGTGGTACATAGGTATTTTATATCTATGTCGTATATCTGAAGAACTATACCGAGATGCTGCCGAAATTCATCCACGTCAAAATCTAATCTGATGTAGCAGTAAATTATGTGACATAACTATGCATTCCCGAATGGGTTAAGGCCCTTACTGGAGGCATAAGGTGACACTATCATTTGTATGAAGTTATTGTGATTGTTGTATTGTTACTATGGTTCTAGGAATTATGAACAGGACGTGGATACAGAACCCGAATAGATGCGCGAACAAATACTTTGATGGAATTTGAGTTTTTTATTGACTTTGCATGTATACACAACCCGAGTGCATTGACAAATACCAATCAAGAAGGGGAAAATGATGTGCCTACACTAATGGATAGTGTAAAGTTTAAACAATATGAAAACTATTAAAAAATGCCAATAAAGAGTTATACCTGGGGTGCAAGATCTTTTCGGTTCTCATAGCCATTGTGGAATTAATGCACGGAAAAATAAAGTATTGTATGTTGAATTAGTGTTTCGATTAATTTTTGGGGGTTTTCAAGAAAATGCTTCCAAAGGATAATTGTCTGCCGAAAGACCATAGACATGCGTAAAACGTGTTGAATGGTCTTAGATTGGGTTATGAAAAAAAATCACGCTTGCAAAAACAATTGTATTTTATTATACAAAGAGAATAAAGCATTGGATAATTGCCTTGTATGCAATGAGTCAAGGTTCAAAATGACATCTCAGAATAGAACGACTAAGATCCCACAAAAAGTCATGCGTTATCTACCCTTGAAACCTAGGTTGCAGCGATTGTATATGTTGACGTATACTTCCATCAACATGGGATGTCATAAGGAAAAACGGGTAGACGACGATATGATGAGGCATCCTACAGATTGGGAGGCATGGAAAGAGTTCGATTGAACGTTCCTCGAGTTTGCTACTGTTGATGCATAAAACCGGAGGGGTCTTGGAACAACGTAAATCCGACCGTGAATCTGCAAGAAATGTAAAGAACACAAGATGTATCGTGGTTCACCCCAATATTTGGGCTACGTCCACACTGATATTGTATTTCTCTAATATGATTGTTAGGGAGAGAGCCTCTGTAATGTGAGTGAGGCTTTGAGAGAGTGAGGGGGCTTGCTCTGAATATGAGCGCCTCCCCCAATTGTGAGGGTGATGAGTCCCTTTTATAGAATAAGGGCTCCTCACTTATTACATATTTACCTCTTCCTTTATTACATAATTACATTTAAGTCCCCTGAGTATTTATACGAGATCTAAATACGAAAGCCCTAAGTATGGTACAAACAGTAGTCCCCCAAGTCTTCAGTCAAGAGAGTCCTTTGGCTGGAGACTTGAAATTCAGTCCATGTGTGGGCCGAAGTAACTAGATGTCGTCTTGAACTAATACTCGATATGAGGTGGTGCTTAAAATGAAATGATGCTCAACTAGAAGTAGCATATGTTGCGAAGCTGCTCAGTTTGTGGCTTATGTTGCCTTGGTTGACTCAACTTGTGGCGTTGAAGGTGAGGGATTCCCTTTTATAGAATAAGGGCTCGCTCCTCAATACATGAATGATGGGCTAGAGTTGATGCTCACGGTGAGGCGGTTGCTCAGCTGGCGGCGATGCTATCTAATGATGGTGAGGGAGTCATTTTTACAGAATAAGGGCTCGCTCCTCAATACATGAATAATGGGTGCTCTCTAATGAAAGTGAGGGAGTCCCCTTTATAGAATAAGGACTCGCTCCTTAGTACATAAATAATGGGCTAAGTCCCCCAAGTATTTTTCATGAGGCCCAGTTGAGGCCCAATATATGGTACATAATGTAGTCCCCCAAGTCTTCGGTCAATAAAGTCTGTTGGCTGGAGACTTCAAATTGAATCCATGTATGGGCCGAAGTGGCGGTTGTTCGAAGGTGGTATTTGTATACCCTGCACTGAAGCTTTGTAGGTGAAGCTTTGCAAGTGAAGCTTTTGAAGCTGGAGCTTTGTAAATGAAGCTTTTGAAGCTAGAGCTCTGTAAATGAAGCTTTCAAAGCTGATTGACATGAGTGATGCTCATGAATGTTTATGTTGATTGACATGAGTGATGCTCATGGATGTTGACATGAGTGATGCTTATGAATGTTGACATGAATGATGGTCATAAATGTTTATGTATGATTGACATGAGTGATGCTCATGAATGTTTATGTATGATTAACATGAGTGATGCTCATGTATAATTTTGGAGTACTGGGCGTATTTTTAATCATCTGGTTGGTGATAATAGCGGCAGGCTGCCGAATAATTTTGGAGTACTGGGCGTACTTTTGATCACTTGGTTGGTGATAATAGCGGCATGTTGCCGAATAATTTTAGAGTACTGGGCGTACTTTTGATTACCTGGTTGGTGGTAATAGCAGCAGGCTGCCGAATAATTTTTTGTAGTACTGGGCGTATTTTTGATCATCTGGTTAGTGGTAATAGTGGCAGACTGTCGAATAATTTTTTGTAGTACTGGGCGTATTTTTGATCATCTGGTTAGTGGTAATAGTGGCAGGCTGTCGAATAATTTTTTGTAGTACTGGACGTACTTTTGATTATCTGGTTGGTGATATAGAGGGCCTGGCTCTTTTGGGCATATAGGCCTTCGCCCTCTACATAACATTGCAGCCCATTATTTTGGGCTTGCCGTTTTTTTTTTACCCTCTGATGGGGTTTATACAGATATCTCCAAAAGATAAGAAAAATATATCACATTATTCAAAAACAAGAGACGTAAATCACATCATTCTGTTGGAGTGTTTATTCCTTGCTTTTGCTTTCTGTTTTTTTTTTTTTTAGAAAATGGGAACCCGCATGATGAAAGTGTGGGCATCTGCTTTGGTGGTCGACACCTTTTTTTTTTTGCTTGTGGCTTTTCCCGTGGCTTTTATAGAAAAGCCATTCCTCCATTATTATCAGGCTGAGGATGTGATGATGAAAGTTTCACCAAGCATCTTCTGGTACATTTTTTCCGCATGACTCCTTTCTCAGTGGGCATGTTTAGAACCATTGTCCCAAATGATCCTTTATTCCTCTTTGATGGGGTCTTCTTGTAGATGGGATTTGGATCTCGAGTTTGTCCAAAGAAGTCAAAAGCAATTCCCTTTGGGTTGGTAGGAGGTAAGACTGACTGGGATGGAGAGGCTATAGGAGGTGTCGGTGTGACTTGAGTTGATAGGTGTCGGTGTCACTAGCTGGTTGACGAAACAGGGCTTCCGCAGTTGTAGAGCTTGAAGTGGGCTGCTCAATCTGATGGGAGGTTACCACTGGAGGAGTTGTTGGTGGCAGGTGCGGAGCACTGCCATGGGCTGTTATATTAGGAGGAACCGGGTCTTGATCTTGCCAGTTGAATATTTCCCAAAGCTTATAGCTATGGAAATCCCAGTCAATCTTTTCTTTTATTTCTTCCCTCTCTACTATGTGTCCTTGTTGAATCCTCCAGTGCTAGAGGCGCACACATCATTAATGCTAATTTCAGGCACTTTTTGGAGTGGTGGAGGCACTCGAGATAGTCTTCGCGGAGGAGGACACAGTCCTTAGGCTCACGGCAGCGAGACATGCACTCGTTGAAGTTTACCTAAAAATTGTAGCACCGCCCTTTGTTGCCGGTGATTCCCTACCCCAATGCCATTTCTTTCTCTCGCGCGGCGGATGATCGAGTCAAATCAGTTGTATCAACGGTCGGTGGAGGTCAAGAGTTTATCAGCGATTGCGGTGGTTGGTTCGCTCTAGCTGCTGACTATTGCTCTGAGTAGGAGAAATTGAGGGATGAGATCGCTTCGAGAGAGCTTGCAAATGCCATGGATGGTAGAGGAGATGGAGTCCAGTCTGCGGAAGAACCCACCAATAAAATCATGTTAGCTGATTGATACTCGCAAACCCATTTGCACACAGAAATCACATCCTTAATTTCTGCAAACCCAGTGAGAGAAACCCTCTCTGTTGACATTTCAACCCCTCTCATGTCAAAGCTTAAAGCTTTATAACCTTTGTCTGCCAACCCAGCTGCTATTCCTCTCAACAGGCCTTGGCAGACGCCATGGATGGAGTATGGGTGCATCATAACCACCACAGGGCTGCCCTCCTTGATATCTTTTTCTTCTCTGGGTTTGAAGAGCTGAGTGCTGAGCTTGACTCCATCGCCGGTCTCAAATGTGCAGGACTCCACCGTACAGTTTGACATCCAGGATAGAGTGACAGAGAGAGAACGCAAGAAGGAAAATGGCAATTCTAGAGAGAGAAAGAGAGAAAGGAGGAGGTCATGGTGGCTTTGTGTTTGTGGGGGTTTCTGGAAAAGCTTTGGGTTGTTGGGTTTTTGCAGATTTTGCAGATTTACGGTGGAGGTGAAAAAATGAAAGAGAACCGACATAGTTTTTCGTGTCGTTTCCCACAGAAGGCGCCAAATTTTGATGCACAAAACCGGAGGGGTCTTGGAACAACGTAAATCTGCAAGAAATGTAAAGAACACAAGATGTATCGTGGTTCACCCCAATGTTTGGGCTACGTCCACACTGATATTGTATTTCTCTGAGAGGATTGTAAGAGAGAGAGCCTCTGTAATGTGAGTGAGGCTTTGAGAGGGTGAGGGGGTTTGCTATGAATATGAGCACCTCCCCTAATTGTGAGGGTGATGAGTCCTTTTTATAGAATAAGGGCTTCTCACTTATTACATATTTGCTCATTCCTTTATTACATAATTACATTTAAGTCCCTCGAGTATTTATACGAGATTAAAATACGGATGCCTTAAGTATGGTACAAAGAGCTACCGTTCGGGGTTTTAAACCAACACCATAGCACTTGGTCGATTTTCGTATTCCTATATAATTTGTTGCCTTGGAAATGTATGAAAAAATAAAACATGATGATAACTCTTTTGATAACTGAGGATCCTGGTAGGTCAATCGATGTTTACTTAAGGTCGTTGGTTGATGAGCTAAAAGATTTATGGATAAATGGTGTGCACACGTACGATAAGTACACTGGGAAGATGTTCACTTTGCAGGCATCAATTATGTGGACTGTGAACAATTTTCCCGCATATGCAATGGTTTCTAAGTGGAGCACTAAGGGTTATATGACATGCCTTGTACGCAATGATGATGTAACATCTGGTTGGCACGTCAGAAAAGTTTTTTACCTTGGTCATCAGAGATGGTTGCCATGGGACCACGAGTGGCGGGAAAAAGATAAGGAGTTAGTCGGGAAAATAGAACATTGCCTCAGACCTAGAGAATGTTCCGGTGATCAGATTGTGGAACAGCTTAACCGTTTGGATTTTGCTCTGTTTGGGAAAACAGTGAGTAAGACTAGACTTTCTACACATGAACTTGATGCACATGCCTATGTTTTTTGAGCTCTCGTATTAGTCGAAACTAAAATTGAGACACAACCTCGACGTTATGCATGTTGAGAAAAATGTATTTGACACATTGGTGGGCACCATTCTAGATACCGAGGACAAGACAAAGGACACGATCAAAGCTCGTCTTGATTTGGAAAGAATGGGCATACATAGGGATTTATGGATGAATAGGGACAGTGATAAAGCCAGAAGGGATCTTGCTTTTTTTTTCTTTTTTCTTTGTTTTTTCCATGAAACCGAATGACAAAAAAGAGTTTTTAAAGTTTGTATCGTCTGTAAAGTTTCCCGATGGGTATGCTTCTAATACCGCGTGTTGTGTGAATGTTGACGGGGGTAAATTTGCTGGACTAAAGAGCCATGACTGCCATGTGTTTATGCAACGCCTACTTCCTGTGGGTATTCGACACTTATTGTTGGAAGATTTTGTGAAGCCAATCATGTTGTTGTCTAGATTTTTTTCCCAATTGATGGCAAGAACATTGCGAAAGACGGACATTAATCAGTTATGCCATGACATTGTCCAAGTCCTATGCAAGTTTAAGATGATATTCCCTTCAGATTTCTTCACAAGTATGATCCATGTAATGGTTCACTTACCGGAAGAAGCATCGCTTGCTAATCATGTCAACTATCGCTGAATGTATCCAATAGAAAGGTATATAATCCTCATCATTTGTTTATGCATCATTAACCCATGCTTACTAATTTGCTCATATCGTTTTGTTTTGGCAGGCTTCTCGGGGAGCTAAAAAAAAGTGTATGCAACAGGGCGAAGCCCGAATGATCAATTATAGAGGTTTGAGTTCAATATGAGTTACTTACTTTTTGTGGAATGTATTTAAAATATGTGGAGACGACTTTCAATCTTTCTTAGCACAATAATGATGGAGGTGTGAGAAAGGAGAAACTTTCTGTTTTTGCCCAATGCGCATGACCCCTTGGAGATCCTGTACGAGGTGAGTCATTTTCCAAAAATGACATGGAGGTAGTGCATTGGTTCGTACTGAACAATTGTGACGAGATAATGGCATACCTAGATGAGCATGAAGAGATGATAAAGCGAGAACATCCATCACATTTGTATGCCAAGAAACACTGAGAATTGTTTCCACAATGGTTTCTCGAATATGTAAGTTATAAGTGTTTTGTATTTGTGATATATATTGTAGTATTTAATTTTCTCAAACTAACAGGTGTATGTTTTTGTATAATATTAGGTGAATAAATTGGAAGCATCGAATTCCCCCATTTACAGTGAAGAGTTATATAACTTGGCGTTCGGCCCGATTCGCGCTGAATTGTTCTCAGGTTGCCATGTTAACAGCGTCAAGTTTTTGGGGACTGCACGAGATGACAAGTTGTGTACGCAAAATAGCGGTGTCCATGTCCCAGGTGGAGGCAAAAGTACGGACATTGATTTCGATGGCAAACTATCCAGTTAATATAGTCCGTTTAGTTGGCCATCTGACATTCCATCTTTCTTATGCTAAGATTCAAACTACAATGCTGATTTTAATTTAATGAGTTGAAGGTTTAGTCTACTTGTTTTTACTGTTGTAATTGCTTGATTTTAATTCAAACAACTATGGTGCTAGGTTTCAAAGTCTTGTGAAAACATTTCCCCTAAAAACCTCCTCAAGGTATAAATGGTTGATTTCCTTGGATACATCTAGTAAGTAGGCTATTGTGGCTTGAATCCTATGTGTCTGCTTTCTTTCATAATTGATACACTGTTTTTCTTCTTTAACACAAAACTTTATTGCACAAATTTCCAATAGAACTAGAATTTTTCTTATGTCCTTGATTCAATGTTATTCTTTTTATTTATTATTTTTTAAAGTTTCTAATATAAATGGGAGAAGTTTATATGATTAATTTGATAAATACTATAGAAGTTTTAGAAGGATTATGACTGGCTGCTTGTACAACCAACATTTTAGAGATCAATTTATTATCTTTTCATTGTGCAGATGTCACATCTGATTAGAAGTCGTAAGGTGGTGTCGAATGTTGCTCGTTTGATTCCTCTGCCTCCTACTTCAGCCGCCACTGCTCTAGCAAAAATGGACCATGTGCTGGTTAATCCGGTTGATCTTATTGATCCGGTTGGTCCCATGGTCTCCCAGGTGCTGGTGTCATCTGCCGTTTCAGTGGTGCAACCTGTTAGCGCCAGGTGTGGTCACCGCCGCCCCCACACGCCCGACATATCAGCATCCAACATTGATTCCTTGGGGTCCCAACAAGGTAAACATGTGATAAACGTTGAGAACTGAATTTTTCTATAATGCCTTGGTGATTTCTCCATATAGGTTGTTTCATCTTATACAGGAAGATCAATTAAGCTTTGTAACCTGAAAGTTTGTCATTTTATTTCCAATAACTGCTCGAATAAATCTCTTATGCTAAATTTTGTCAATATTTATATTGCTAATAAAATTTACCATATTCTGTTATTAGTGTTTGATATAAATGATTCTATTTGTTGGGGTATGAATGTCAATAGTCGATTTACTGTCAAACCTGCGACTTGAATTCAAAATAATGTAACAACAAATAACTTAAAAACTGAGTTGCTAATAGAATGTGGAAGTTAAATGTTCCTCATGCGATTAAAAATTTTAGTTGGCTTTTGATTCTGGATAGGTTACAAACTAGATATACACTATGTAATATTTCACTTGGCATCCACTACTGAAGCATTCAACTATTGTGATTGTTGTTGGACATCATATATTATTCATTACATTGTCCAGGGTTTCAGAATTGTTATAACTTTAGGGGAGGTTCTGCCGAACTTTCGGTTTAAGTTGTTGTGTTTGTTTGATTGTTTTTTTATTTTTTTCAGCAAAGAAAAATACCCGAGGACCTTGTTGCCAGTTGAAGATGGCAAAGGTCACCCGGGTGACCAACTGACGTATCATAATCGAATACAACGATTGGCATTGGGCTGCACCAACGGCAGAGTAGCATATCGCATTGGCCCACAACATTGGTCATGTCGTTCAGACTTATTGCCCTACGCAATAGAAGTCTTGGAAGGTGTGCCAGACGAGGTGAGGACGAAGGTGTACACATAGTTGTCGGTAAGTATCCTACCTTTTAATTGTTTTTCTTTTAAATTTTATATATTTATATTACTTAATGTATGTAATTAATTTGTTACATTGCAGATGAACTACAATTTCGACAACATCAACAACGATATGTTGGCATACGTCAACATGCTTATTGCTGAACGGTACAAGTAGTGGAAGAGTAACCTGCACCAATATTTTGAGATATTTGATGATCTGCAGGTTGCTCTTGAGGAGGGTTGCCCGAAGGAGTTTGAGGACCGGGAAGATAATTGGGTTGTGGCTCTGAAGTCATTTTCAAGAGCCTGACTATGTGGTACGTTTTTTATATCAAGTTTAAAAGTATTATGCGTTTCTTACTAATGTTTATTGATTTTTTTTATATTTCATTTAAATTAGAACTAATACGTTTATTTTTTTATAATAGAAGAAGGCGAAAGCCAACAAGAGCAATTGGGAAAAGAAGACTCTTTTCCACCATTTTGGTTTAAGGCCCTTCTCATATAGGATAGAGGCGCGTTGGCAGGTAATACTAAAGTTTTTCATATTCAATTTTTAATATGTCAACAATATTTTTTTTTTCGTACTAACATTTTCCTTATCTTGTTCTATTCAGGTGGTTCAAAATTCCCGGAGATTGATGTCTTTATCGACATTTATGTTCAACCTTGGGATGAGTTGGTCGAGTCCCTTCATGTAAGTATTCTTCAATTGTAATTACTATCTTACGCATACAAGTATCAT